GTTGCGGCGAGCCCGGCGGCGGCCTCGACGGGCCAGCCCTCGGGGACGCGCAGCAGCGACGGGATCCGCGACCGCGGGAGGGAAATTACTTCGGCGTAGGCACCAGCGTGGTCGCCAAAGACGGCATCGCCCTTTTGAAACTCACAGTCTGCGGGCGCGGCGAGGACGATGCCGGCAAACTCGAGGCCGAGGATGAAAGGGGGAGTGACATGTCTCTTGTTATTCTGGTGCTTTCCTAGAGCCTAGTCTTTTTGTTAGAGGATGTCGATGTTTTACAGATTTCCTGCAGTCAGACTCACGTAGAGAGTGTCGACATAGTTGACGCCGACACCCCGAACTTGGATGAGAATGTTGTCACCTGTCGCTTCAGGGCTGGGGACCTCGGATACACGAACTTGGCCCAACGTCTCACAAAACTTGTCAATCAAAATTGCCTTCATTTTTGCGCTGATATCGATTGAAATCGCGCGCAACAGCTCAAAGAATTATGCACAGTGCCTCTTCAGGGTTTCGGTAATGGCCGGTAGTTCGGAGCGGATTCTGTACACGTCGTTGTCCCGAGGCTTATAGGCGTTTGGGTGAAAGCAATCACCTAAAAAAAAGGGTGCATTGACAAGGCGCCGCCAGCCACGGCATCGACTGCATCCTGATATCATTTGGATAATTCACATCCATTCTATTCGAACATTTTATGTTCGTACAGAAATCTGGTCAGGCTTTCTTTATCGTCTGCCTACGATTGCCCCTTCTCATCTGTCTCACTCGATACTAAGCCAGTCTCAGTGCGCAGCCTTGCTAGTTCATAGGTACCTAGTTATAGTGCAGGGGCAAGCTGGTGACACCCGATGTTTAGCCGGCGTGCGCATTTCGCTGTCGCAGCGCCAACCAGCAATCTTGCTCTTGACATGCCAGAGCCGTAACGACTAGAGGTGCACAGCCAGTTAATCGCCTGCATCCTTCACATTGTCTCTGGCATCGACTTCTCGTGGGACACGCCACCGGCCGTTGATATCATCATGGCATCCAACGATCCTCGATTCGATGACTCGTCGGACGAGGAGGACTTCAATCCTGCTCCTGCTGAGTTGTCCGACGAAGAGCCGGACCGTGACGAACAGCGCGGGGAAGAGAAGCGCCACAAGAGCCCTGATCGCGACGACAATGATGATGCCGATGAGAACACGTCGCCAGCACGTCCAAAACACGTAGACGACGAGGAAGAGGACGACGATGAAGATGAGGACGTCAAGGGCAAGAACGACGACGATGACGAAGAGGAGGAAGAAGAAGAGGATGAGGACGACGAGGATGATGTGCAAAGAGTATGCTCGTCTGTGCTGATGACTGCTTCTCCAATTCGCTAACACCGCGCAAAGGGTCATCGCAGAAAGCGCCGTCGCGACAGAAGAAATGCTTTCCTCGATATCGAAGCCGAAGTCGACGACGAAGACGAGGCTGAGGATGATGAGAAGGAAGATGAAGAAATAGGCGACTTTATCGACAACGAGCATCCCGACGACCTCGCCGATACTGCACGACTCAACGATGATCGCCGCCACCGAGAGCTTGATCGCCGCCGCGACATGGAGTCGAGTTTGGATGCTGAAAAGCAAGCTGAGCTCTACCGACAGCGCTATGCTAAATACCGCTCTGGAAAAGGATCGGGCGAATCTGCCGTCGTCCCCAAGCGCCTGCTTCTCCCTAGTGTTGATGATCCAGGTATTTGGGCAGTGCGATGCAAGGAAGGCAAGGAGCGCGAGGTGGTCTTTTCCATCATGAAGCGCATCGAGGAACGTATGGGTTCAAAGGGCGAACTCGCAATCACTGCCGCCTTTGAGCGTGGTGGGACAAACTCTGTCATGAAGGGCATCGTCTACATCGAGGCCCAGCGCCAGACGGATATTCTGGTTGCTCTCGACGGCATTCTGAACGTATACCCTCGAACCAAGATGACCCTAGTCGACATCAAGGATATGCCTGAGCTGCTACGCGTGACGAAGACGCCTACTCTGGAGCCTGGCGCGTGGTGTCGAATGCGCCGCCCCATCAAGCACAATGGCGACCTTGCCCAGGTCCTGGCCGTGACAGAAAACGGACTCGAAGCTCGAGTCCGCTTCATCCCGCGACTTGATTACGGTATGCGCGACGATGCTCTCGGCAGTTTGTCACAAGATGGAAAGAGAAAGCGGGCCTTTGGAGGCGGCCCTAAGCCTCCTCAGCGTCTCTTCAGTGAGGTGGAAGCCCGGAAGCGTCATCCGCGATATATTCAGGGCAATCCAACCACAAACACCTGGACCTACATGGGTGATGAGTTTGAAAACGGGTTCCAGGTCAAAGATGTCAAGATCCAGCAGCTCATCCTTGTCGACGTGAACCCTACACTGGAGGAAGTCACGCGATTTGCTTCTGGCGCTGAGGACGGTACCGAAAATCTCGATTTGAAGGCGCTTGCTGCTAGTCTCAAAGACAGCAACACCAAGGTGACTTATCTGCCTGGAGATGTGATTGAGGTCTATTCTGGTGAACAGAAGGGCGTTGTTGGCAAGGCTACCAATGTGCAGGGTGATATTGTTACCATGACTGTCACGGAAGGCGACCTGGCTGGCCAGACAATTGAGGTGCCAATCAAGGGCTTACGCAAACGCTTCAAGATTGGTGACCACGTAAAGGTCATTGGTGGCAGCAGATTCCAGGACGAAGTCGGAACTGTGGTCAAGATTTCAGAGGACAAAGTGACTCTGCTGACAGACCACACCAACAACGAAGTGACTGTCTTCAGCAAGGATCTTCGCGAAGCAAGCGACATTGGTGGACAGGGATCACTCGGTCAGTACTCGCTGCACGATCTTGTTCAACTGGACATGACCACGGTCGGTTGCGTTGTCAAGGTTGATCGCGATTCCATGGTGGTGTTGGATCAATTCGGAGACACGAGACAGGTCATGCCGTCGCAGATTTCCAACAAGATTCCCCAGAGAAAGCAGGCGGTTGCTGCTGATCGCGAGGGTTCCGAAATTCGACTCGACGATGTTGTCAAGGAGTACACTGGCCAGCAGAGACAAGGCAAGATTATTCACATTCACCGCTCATACGTCTTTCTGCATACCAACGACTCCAACGAAAATGCCGGTGTCTTTGTTACAAAGGCCAGCTTGGTCAACACTGTGGCTGCCAAGGGTGGCCGTGTCAACGCCGCCGCTTCTGGTCCTGACTTGACCACGATGAATCCCGCGCTCAAGGTCCACAAGAACGGCTCCGAAAACAAGCCTATCACCCCCATCAAGATGTTTGGTCGTGACAAGGCTATCAATCAGACTGTGATCATCAAGAAGGGCGCTTACAAGGGACTGTTGGGCATCGTCAAGGATTCCACAGACACGCATTGCCGTGTTGAGCTGCACACCAAGAGCAAGATTGTCACGGTGCCGCGAGACTCGCTCAACTTCAAGGATAAGACGAGCGGGGCCTCAATCGACATCAATGGCAGGGGCCGAGGTGCGCCCGGATTCGGCCGCGGGGATAGAATGCCCAGCTGGCAGGGTGGATCTCGCACGCCAGCTGCTGGTGGTGCCGGCGACCGGGTTCCAGCATGGGGTTCGCGTACGCCGGCTGCCGCGGGTGGTCGGACTCCGGCGTGGAAGGGCCAAGACTACTCGGGCTCGCGTACGCCTGCGTGGGCTGATGGGTCACGAACAGTCAACCCGTACGACGGCAGCCGCACAGCGTATGGTTCCGGCTCTCGTACGCCTGCCTGGCAGTCTGGGGCCAGAACGCCAGCTCCTGGCGACGCGTTCGGTGCTGGCTCGCGAACTCCTGCTTATGGCGGCGGCGGCGGCGACAGCTGGGCCTCGGGCTCCAAGACGCCTTCGTGGGGTGCCTCTGCTCCCACACCCGGAGCCATGGGCAACGATACATGGGGCTACACGCCTGGTGCCGGTGCCGGTGCGTACGACGCGCCCACCCCAGGCGGCGCTCTCGGCGCTCCTACTCCGGGCGCTTTTGGAGCACCGACGCCGGGTGCCTACTCAGCCCCGACGCCCGCAGCGAGCGCTCCCACGCCTGGTGCGGGATGGCAGGGCGGCTGGGGCGCGGATTCTGCGCCTACACCGGCTGCAGGCGCTCCGACCCCAGCGGCGAGCGGGTACTATGGTGCTCCTACGCCGGCGGCACCTCCCGAGACGCCTGGTGCCAGCGGTCCGCGATATGTGGAGGACGATGATTAAGGGGGAGGTGCTTTTCTGGGGTTTCATTCGGGCGTTTGGGTAAAGCTTTTGATCTGTAATACTAGCATCTAGAAAATTGACCCTTTTTCTAGCTAAAGAGGGCGAAGAAAAAGTTGCAAAAGCGGACAAGTTAAAAAATTGAGCATTTGACTGTTATTGCACTTTCATGTCACTTTCCACTGAAGTTGGGACGTTAGGACTGACCCACATAAAAAGTAATTCCCACCGAGGCAACGAGGTTCAAGCAAAATCCTGGATCAGATGCAGAACTTGCCAAGTTTACATCTATATGTCCATTCGTCATGATTTCCTCCGGTCTCCAGCGACGTCTGCTCTCTGTGCGCTGCGCGCATTCACCCGCACGCAGCGCCGCCGCCGCCGCTCACACGACACAGCGTCGTCTCGCCTCCTCCTCCTCCTCCTCCTCCTCGCCTCCCCCCAGACAACCACCGCCGCAGCAGCCCCCATCCCCTGCGGCGCGACGACAAGCAGCAGCGCCGCCGCCGCGAAACGCAGGCAGCGGCACCGCCACCACCACCACCGCTGCGGCCACGCTCTCACGCATGCAAGCCGAAAGGGATGCGTCGCGTTGGCCGGCGGAGACGGCAGACGAGTACAAAGCGCGATACAAGAGCGCGGCGCGGCGGTTTACGTTGACGGTGATTGCGCTGCCAATCTTGCTGGTGACGAGCTACTATCTATTTGACCGATGTTGGTTTTTTTTTTTTTTTCCTCCCTTTTCTCTTTTCCTTTTTCCTTTTTTTTATACTCGAGGAGTTTGCCGCATGGCATTTGGGCAGAAGAAGAATGAATGGGTGTTTTGCTAATACGTGAGAATAGTGGCGCTGGGACACGAGCGCAAGGTATTGAATCGCAAAGAGACGAAACGAGACGGCTGAGCTGGCCTTGGGCACCGACTTCATTCCAGCGCGAAAAAAAAAAAGGCGAATAAAAAGGCGAAAAAAAAAAGATTGTATAACATCTATAAAATATTGAAAATAGTTGCATCATCATATATACTCATGGCAGATTTCTTTCTTCATCCAAACCCGCCCCCCCTCCCCCTTTCCAAGTCCAACAAAGATGAATCGCCAATGCTTTGAAAATGTCGTCGCGTTTTTTTTTCCTTTCTTTCTTCTACAGATTCGCCCGACTCCAGCCCGTCTTTGCCAACGCGGCCGCGTCCCGCTTGGACCACTCGCGCAACAGCTTGCGGACAATCTTGCCGCTGGCGAGCTTGGGCACGGCGTCGACAAAGGAGACGCCGCCGGCGAGGCGCTTGTGCTTGGCGACGCGGGCGGCGAGCCAGTCCTGGATGTCGCGGGGCTGGACCTTGCCCTTGGAGGCGTCTTGAATCTGGACGTAGGCGCGGGGAAACTCTTCGTGGTCCCTTGTGACAAAGTTAGTTTGCTGTTGTTTCCTTTGATGGCAAGGGAGGAGGTATGTCGGACGAACAACATACAGCTCTATTCCGACGACGGCGGCGTCGGCAACGTGCTCGTTTTCGAGGAGTAGAGATTCTAGCTCGGCGGGGGCCACTTGCAAGCCATTGACCTTGATGAGTTCCTAGAACATGATGAGCACTTCCATCTTCTCACGTGCTCGTCAATTTTCGAAAGCAAAGACGCACCTTTTTCCGATCCACGATCCATAGCATGCCTTGTTCGTTATACACGGCCACGTCGCCCGTGCGCAGCCATCCCTCGTCGTCCAGCGTCTCCCTCGTCGCCTTTTCGTTGCGCCAGTAGCCGAGCATGACATTGGGCCCTCTCACAAACAGCTCGCCCGGCTCCCCGACGCCCACCTCTCTCCCATCCTCGTCCAGAAATTTGGCCTCGCAGCTCGGCAGCAGCATGCCGCAGCTCGCCTCCCTGTCGACGCGGTCCATCGGCAGGCCCGACGCCGCGCACGTCAGCTCCGTCATGCCCCAACCCTGGACCAGGTTGACGCCGAAGCGGTCCGCCACGTCGTTTTGCAGGTCCACTTTGAGCGGCGCGGCGCCGCAGCTCAGGTCCTTTACGCTCGACAAGTCGTATTTCTGGACCTCGGGCCGCTTCGACAGCATGACGACAATGGGCGGCACGACCTGCAGCACGTTGGGCCGGTAGCGCTCGATGCACTGCAGGTAGCGCTCAAAGCTAAAGACGGACATGACGTAGACGGTGACGTGGCGGCGGGCGGCCATGAGGATGGTGTACATTTGGCCGTAGGCGTGGTAGAGCGGGAGGAATGCGAGCCAGACGTCGCGCTCCAGCTCCGGGGTGAGGCCGTTGGGGTGCCGCATGCCGATGAGCTGCTGCACGTTGGCGACGAGGTTGCGATGCGCCCCGCACACACCCTTGGGCAGGCCGGTCGTGCCGGAGCTGTAGTTGATGGTGGCGAGCTGCGTGCGGGCCTCGGCGGCGGAGAGGGACGGCCACGTCCAGGACGAGGCGGCGTCGTCGTCGACGAGGAGGGAGGTCCAGTCGCGGAGGCCCTGGACGGGGCCGGCGGCGCCGGAAACGTCGTCGCTAAAGTGAAAGATGCGGTCCTGCGGGAATTGCGCTTCCGCCGCGGCGGCCAGTACATCGTCAACTTTGGAGGGGTGCGCGAGGATGACTTTTGCCTCGGAATTGGCGATTTGGTATGCGATTTCTAGAAATTTGTCAGTTGTGTTTCTTCTTCAAAGCGATTAAGCATCTCTCATGATCTTGTGTGAAATATAAACGTTGTAGAAGAACGCACCTTTTGGGGTGTAGGCGGGATTGGCGCCGGTAAAGGCGCATGTCGAGCCGACGACGCCCAGATACAGCACAGGCACAAAAATGTGATTGGTCGAGCACATCATGACCACGTCGCCTTTTTGTAAACCGAGCCTCTGCAGGCCAGCGCCCAGGCGCTTGACCCATGACAGGGCCTGGCGTAGCGAGAGGCTCTTTGCGGTGTCGTCGGCGTCGATCCAGAGCGGCTTGTCGGTGACGTCGTCGGGGTTGGCAAAGATGTAGTCGAGGACGTTGACCGAGGGGATCTCGACGTCGGGGAACGGGGAGCGGACAGGCATTGTGTTTGATTGCGCGGCGCTACTCTTTGGAGATTTGTATAGAAGAGGAAGACGAAAAAGTGTATAAGCTGGGGCGTGTCGATTCTGGAGGGGGGAGGATAAGAGTGATTTGTGCGGAGAGCCGAGGTTTTGCGGCTGGGTGAGGCTTGCTCGCGTGTTGTACCCAGAATGTTGGAAGAGCGAGGCTGCAATTGGATTAATGGAGGCTCAAATGGCACAGACACACAGAGAGAGAGAGCAAGTGAGGATAAAGGCGAGAGTAGAGAGCAAGTGTATCCCAATGGACTACTGGCGAGAAGAGAACCCAGCAAGACGAGGTAAAAGAAGCCGACTTAAGGCCGCGGAGTCGATGACTGCGGCACCGAGGCAAGGCCAAGGCGATATATCTCTCCTGCACGGACAGCGATTTGCCCTGCAAGTGTGGGGGAGGCGTCGATGGCGTTTTACCAATAAATATGAGATTGGTTGGGGGACTCTGGAAACCAGACGAATCATCCATAATCCCCAACACAAGTTTGACGATTATTGGTGGTCAAAACTCCGCGGACTATCATACCCGAGCAAAGCGGGCCCGGGAAGCATTCGGCAATGGGGATTTTTTGTGCTGCCCCTCGGTCGGTTGCAAAGTGAAGCGATTGGCCATGATTAATTAGTAACGTCTATTGCTTGTTGAGATACGAGTGGCACGCAAACGGGGACGGGCCCGCGGCTGCCCGCAGCAAAACGTGATATGTAGCTATGGAAACAAAACAAAAATCGGGGTCAACAGCCATCAGATTATTTGCCCTAATAATCACCTGGCTATTTTATTCATCAAAAACACCCAAGAAAATCGCAAGCCCTCACTCAGAACCATCTGCTTCGTTCATGTCCTGGCAAGATAATCCCACCCGAAGCCCCCCCCCCCCCCCCCCTACGTCTTCTACTAGCTACTGCTATTAAGGCCCAGGTCCAGCACCAGCGTCGACGCCTGCATGGCGCTGCTCATCGGGCTCGCCAGAAACACGATGCCGTCGGCAATTTCGTCTGTCTCTATAAGACGCGGCACGGGCACCCTTGCGGCGTGGCGCAGGAAGCTGTCCAACTTGTCGCGCTCAATGGCGTCGACGAGGAGCGGCGTGTCGACGTAGCCCGGGCACACGGCGTTGATGCGGATGCCGTGCGGGGCGTAGTGTAAGCCGTCCGCCTTTGTGAGACCGACGACGGCTGAATATATGTCAGTATAGCTGTTGACCATGTCGGTGGATTTTTTTGTCTTTTTTCTTCTCTCTCCTCCTTGTCCTCCCTCGATATTCTTCATCTTCCCTTGTGCTAGGTGCTTACCGTGCTTGGCGGCCGTATACGCAGACTGGAACATGGGAGCCGGCGGTCCGCGCAGGCCATACAGCGACGCCGTGTTGATAATGACGCCGCGACCCCTTCGAGGGCCCAAATCTCTACAATTGCCCCGTCCTCGTCAGCTTGATTCCCTCTTTTTTTTTTTAAAAAAAAAAAGCAATAATAAAGAAAGCGTCACGAAATCTGTTACAAGTAAACACGGCGCAGGCCAAAAAAAAAACGTACTCTTGCTTCATCATGACGGCCAGCTCCTCCTTTTGGCAGAGAAACACGCCGTCGAGGTCCACCGCCAGCGTCTTGCGCCACGCCTCCTCGGGCAGCTCGTGCGTCAGGCTCGTCGCGCCCGCGACGCCGGCATTGTTGACGGCCACGTCGAGCCGTCCCAGCGCTTCGACCGCCTGCGCGACCGCCGCCGCGACGTCGGCGCCGCGGGTCACGTCCAGCACAATGGGGACGACTTTGACGCTCGCGGCAAAATCCCGCGCGAGGGTTGCCGCGAGCGCGTCGAGGGCCTCTTGGCGGACGTCGGTGATGACCAAGCCCGAGGCGCCGTGGCGGGCAAAGTGGAGGGCCGTCGACTTGCCGATGCCTGCGGGTTGTGTGTAAGCCAAGGGGAAGGAGGGAGGGGGGGACAAATGTTTCTCGAGGGATGTGGTTTTTTTTTTTTGCCAAGGTTTTGCTGCTTCTTGCTTTTGGAGAAAGTGAGTCAAGGATGAAGGGAGCTGAATAAGAACACACCTGAAGCGGCACCGGTAATGAAAGCATTGTAGCCTTTGAGAAGTGGCTCCATGATCTCGGCAAGACTTGTTTCGAGATGACAACGTAATGGGATGAGGGTATGTAGGTACACAAAACAGCAACGATGAGACGTGCGCAGTATATGTACGTACGCAGATATTGATGCATGAAAAAATTCACACGGGATAATATACCTCGGCAGCCGCACTATAGCTGTGGCATATTATTACCAATACTTTGCTCGACCCCCAAGGCGAAGCCATGCAGCAGTGTGTGGGGGGGGAACGCACGGAAACTTGATGACTCTCCGCTCCGTCCATAGTTGCGTGCACACATTAGATCAAGCAGGATTTCATCTGCAAGTGTTGTATCATTGAAACTGTCTAGAATCTAGCCTCGGCGGACCTATTGACAATAAAATTTCCAGCAGCGATTGAAAAGAAAAAGTGTAGTCACTCAGACCCAAAGATTGCGAGAAACCACAATCAAATACGTACAAAGACTGTTCCATGAACCCGTGATAATCATACAAGTTGACACAAAAGGTGCCAGGTTTGCATTTAACAAGAAAAACAGAAGCAAAAAAAAACAAAAACGCCGTTGAAACCCCCCCTCGCAGCCGTCTAGTTCTTGGGCTTGGGTGCGAAGCGCTCGATGCCCGACTTGATGGAGGCGTCGACGCCCTTGGCCATCCTCTCGAGGGGCAGACGCTCTTCCATGCGCTGAACGGCGCGGGACATGGGCGGCTCGATGCGCTTCACGCCGCGCTCGACGGGCGGCGCAAAGTAGGTAATGTTCTTCTCCCAGCGCGGCGCCCACTTGCTCGTCTGCTTGGCGAGGCGCTCGTCGGCGCCGGGCATAATCATGTACAGCGGGGTGAGGACGCCGACGCCGGCAGCGCCCATGATCCAGACCTCGGAGCGCTTGGCCTTGGGAAGACGGGGAACGCGAGGACGCATGTTTGGTTGTGTTTTCTGCAAGACTGGGGTTGAGTGGTTAGTGATGAGGGTGGTGGTGGTGGCGGTGGTGGGTGGCGAGGCGGCGAGCCAAGACGAAACTCACGAAATGTGTGGAAGAGGGTATCGAAAGGTACTGACAAATGATAGTGTCAGTGATTGTTGATGGTTTATTTAATGTTGATGACGGATTATCGTCTTGATGATATACGATGGATGAAAATAGGAAGAGTGTTGCACGGAAAAGAGAACGAAAAGGCGGCTGGATGGTATATATACACTGGCGTGACCAGACACACACACACACACACACACACGATGCCGGAGCTAACGAGTACAAAGGGATACATACTCTTGTAGAGAGATGGCCTGACCAGCTGCCGCCTCGCCTGCAGCAGACGCCCGCCAGGACATACCAGGCCAGGGTCAATGGCATGTACTCGAGCGGGGTAACGAGATGCAGCGAAAGCCAGCCAGCCAGCGACGACGAGACCTCTAGCCCGGACCATCATCAATAAGGTCTAGCTTTCACTTCAACTTTGCTCATCGGTGGCTTCTTGGTGTCGGTATGATTGGCTCTCTTGTTGTCCTTGTCATCATCGAGGTACCGTGTCGATACCTAGCCAACACTGGTCAATAAGAAAAGACGAGGCGCGTACCGGTACAGTCCACGGCCTGACGCAAGCGTCTTGCAAGCTTCATCACCTTGTCTGGGCTGCTGCTGCCACCACACCACCACACCACCACAACATGCTGGTTCAGCAGCAGACGCGGCGCAGACACACACACACACACACCACCAGAGCGCTGCAACAACAACGGCCGAGTCTACACCGCAAGCCATGAACCGTCGCTAGCGTACTCTTTTTGCAAACGCCCTTCATCACCCACGATGATCCAATTTTCGCGACATTGTTGCGCGTTTTGTAGACGTCGTTTTGCTTTACTGTTTCTTTTTCGCCCGCTCAAACAAGGCAAACAGTCACGCAGCGCCGGCCCCGCCCCCAGACTTTCTGAAGCGGGCCCCTTCAGCGCTGACCCAAGATACAAGTGGACTCGAAACCTGAGGCAGAACTTTCTAGGCCCTCTCTGGGCCTCTGGCCCTGTCAAGCGTTGAAATCAACCAGCAATGACTGGGCCTTGGGCCTGAAAACCCGCCCCATAAGAATCTGCCCACTTCCCCAGACGGCACATCGCTTGACAGGCCATAATTGTCTCCGCTTTTCTTTCATAAGTGGAGAGAAAGAGGGGGGGAATGGTTTTCATCTGGTCTTGGTACAACAAAAGGGTAAGGGTTAGAAACGAGAAATGGTGAATGCCAAAACAACAAAAAGCATTCGCAATGGCATCGAGTTTCATCAAACTCACGCATCATGAAATTGATGCGGCTCTACATCGATGTGGCGGGGGAGCGGATGGGCAGGCACAACAGGTTCTCCCAGGAAAGGAAGTGGCGGCCCGTCGAGCGTCGCAGCTAAATCGAAAAGGAGGCTTCTAGCATTGAGCCACATTGATTAAATGGTGCAACGAGCTGCAGCTTGATGCCATGTACTCGCAGGTATCTTTCGGTGCTGCGTCACAATCAGGCGGGCCCCCTCATTCGCCTCGCCCCCTCTTCCCTTCCCCTCACATGCGTACTGGTGGTGCTGTGGTGCCACTTGAAATTACCCCCCCTAAACAATCCCCTTCAAGACTCGAGTCTCCAGTCATTGTTTACTTTATTCGTTAAAATAGGCACCTTGCCAGTTCACAACGGATAGAGACAGGAGAACTCGCCATCGCTGTCATTGAAAAAAATGGCCATCTGCAACGGCTGAGGGGCCGCCCGCAAGACGATTGGAAAGATGGTGAAACAGCAACGCCGCATATCCTAGGTACCTGCAGATTGCTCCGGTCAGCTGTCCACCTCGAACACTTTCTCTGCGCCGCTCGTATTTGAGACCGATCCGTGTTGAAGATGGTCCCTTCTGTTGAATCCCGACCAATCAGCCTGTTCGTGTCCGGTTGAAAGAAAGAACAACTGAAATTTCTCGACAAATGTTTTTTTTATCTACTAATCCGGCGAGGGCTGGTATATAAATTGCGATGAACCCAGCCCAGAGTCTCAATTGCTGCTCGCTTCCTTCACTGTTCCTAAAATCGGCTTCGAGCTTCCTGCTATATAACACCACCTCCCCAACCCCAAGGTCCTCACGCTCCGGTACACGAAAATTAGATTGCGGTTGCGGTGGCTGCCTTTGAGGCACAGGCAATCGGACGCCTTACGGAAACATGACAGCGGCAGATTTAGTGGGATTTCTACGCGGGGCTGGTTCACGTCGGCGCATGTGCCCGACAGGAAGTGAAACTAAGACGGCGAGACATCTACGTCCACTCTTTGCATCCAAACGGCCGGTGGCGAGGGATTCGCATATTTCCTTGGCTTTTGCAAAGAATGAGCGAAATATTGTGATAGTATTGTGACGAAGGATAAACCGGCAAGCTCCCCCCCTGAAGCCCTATCGGTAAACTCGGCGTCGTTCAAACATACGAAAACTGCTATCGCACAGCGGAATCTCAGATAAACATCACTAAAAGCCGATTTATGTCCTCGAGGTCATTATTTGAAGTCGCACGGAGCATCTCCAAACGCTGTGTCAAGATTCGATGAATCACCTTGGAGCTGTACTGCTAAAAACGGCACATGGCCAATCTATACCGCATAGAAGAAAGATTGAGCAACTTTTCATACCAATTACACGTTCCCCGAAAATAATGTACCATCAAGAAGCTGCTCCGAAATCTCTTGCTTCGTTATAGAAGAGTCGTTGTATAGAACATGTGCATAAACCTGCCGACCTTTGCACTCCAAAGGGTCAAAGAGACCCTGGCTATCATTTCGTTGCATTAGTTAAACGCCCACAGGCTTCTCGCAGAGAACGGCCTGGCCCGCAACGGGAAGAACACAGCACATGGGCTGCCGGCCGATCGTAGCACAGATGTTCCTGAACTCATCACCAGTGGTAAAGGTCTGGCTAGGGGTAGAGCAATCAAGATCCGCAAGACCCAGAACATTAGCGGCGCAACACTGAGGGTTGCTATAGAGGCCGGAGGGGCAGCACGAGGGATCGTTGCCAACGGGAGAAGGGTTATGGTGACCGGGGACAGAGGTGGGATTGCCACCAGGAACAGAGGTAGGCTGACCACCGGGGACAGAAGTAGGGTGGCCAGTGGGAGCTGAGGTAGGGTGACCACCAGGAACAGAGGTAGGCTGACCACCAGGAACAGAGGTAGGCTGACCACCAGGAATAGAGGTGGGATTGCCACCAGGAACGGAGGTAGACTGACCACCGGGCACAGAGGTAGGCTGACCACTAGGAGAATTGCCGCCTGTAATATCCTGACAGAGAAGATCCTGACCAGCAACGGGAATAACACAGCACAGGGGCTGTTTGCCGACGGCAGCACAAATTCCCTTAAAGTCGTCGCCGGAGGTGGGGGCGTGACGAGGAACCTCGCAGTCAATACCTACGACGTCGAGAACGTTGGCAGAGCAGCACTGAGGATTGCTGTAGAGGCCAGCGGGGCAGTGGAACTCACCACCGGGATGTCCGGTACTGGTGGTAGAAGGGCCCGAGCTGGTATGGGAGCCGGTGTTGGAGCCGGTGGTAGTGGTGGCAGGAACCGAGTTGGTGTGACTGCTGGTGGGCTTGGTTCCGGAACCGGAGCTGGTGTGGCTGCCGGTGGGGTTGGTTACGGGAGTAGAGCTGGTATTGCCGTCAGTGGGCTTGGTTCCGGGACCAGAGCTGGTGTGGCTGCCGGTGGGATTGGTTGCAGGACCGGAGCTGGTATTGCC